GAACTGCGGAACTGCGTTCTCTTTACGAATTTGCCTTCTTAGAAACGATCCTGATTAAAAGCCCATTTGAAGATTTTCACTGCAGCACAGTAAGTGGTGAAGGAAATAAACTGAAGCATACAAGTATTCAACAAAAGCTAACATAACTGAAAAAGTAACATGCTCCTGTTAAAAATACCTAAAATTTACATAAATCAAAAATGTAAATATTACAATATACATTTTTAAAATGTGAATGGTATGACATCATTGTAACAGAAAGTTATGCAAGGGAAAGGAGAGACTGGAAAACAATCATCCAAAACGAAAACCTGACTTCCCGGAGTATATGAATTTTGTCTACGTGTAGGCAGGGTCTTATTTTAACATATATCTTGCAATTGTCTTAGTCTTTTTTTTTTTTTAAGCAGAGTGAGCAAGTTTGATTACAAAAGCAAAAATAGGAATCTTATGACCTGCTATTTTGCTAGAGCAGCAAAACTGAAAAAAATCAGTCAATTTAAGAAGAGTCTTCAATATCTGGGAAAAATGGGAAGTGGGCTATTGGGGTACGTTATGGGCCTACATGTTACAGCAGGCATGTTTTGCTGTTTGGCCTCTCAACTTTAACTGTAATGTGAAGCTCCCGTATCTCTTGTTAGAATACAGGAATGTTCCATAAAGAAGGTTCAAGTATGTGATGATCGCTACATATTAAAGCTGGGACCAGCGGCATTTCTAAACATGCTTCAACTGTTCCGTACAGTCCCCACAAAGACAGAAATATCTCAGGCAGCCACAAGTACAAGGGAGATACAATGTAAACAGAGGCATCAATTTCTTAACCTTTTGCCAAAAAAAAAAAATCAAAATTTAAATTTCTCTTTCCCATTCACACTTCGTTTAGTCTCAGACTTAAAAAAAAAAAAAAATAGAAGATGCGCACAGACTGTCCGCGGATAGTCAGGTTGTCCGTCACCTGTGAAAAGAGACAGTGAGGGTAACCGCTGCAAAAGCTTCAAGCTGTTTCACACGGTCCTTTGAGCCCTGACCTAAGGGACGACTCCAGCAGTCTGCAGGCAGCTGTATTTCTGGAGCATTCAGCCTCACTGCCGAGACCGTCAATAGAAGTGCCCTTCTCTGATGTAGGCGGCTCCGCACTGGCCTAACAATCACATCACGTGGCCTGCGAGACGGAAGAGGCCAGCATTCGGGCACCCTGACCTGGGAGAGGAGTGGACTTGGACAGGGGACAGAGTGCTACTTCCAACTCCCACCACAGCCCAATTCTTTCTATGGGAGTGAGCTGTCTTGAAGCTCAGCTCTGTAACAGGAAAAAATGCAACTACACAAATCAGCCACATGATGGTGCTAGCATCACAATGCAGTATCAGCTGTCCCAGGCACTCGACAGACCTTTGGAGTCGCATCCTGATTGACCACACACTATTCCAATTCCTTGCCATTTACTAAGACAAACATCTTACACGTGTTTGTAACAAAAAGACAACTTCAGTGGGGTTTGTTTGTGTCTTGTTTAAGTTTGAAGGGGAAGAAACAACCGTCAGCTCACTGTTCCCTCCTTTCACTGGTTCATTTTCTGAGATGGTTCTGACATCACGGCCTTTCTGTGCTGACCTCATGTGCTGTCACCTGAACCAACTACTTCACACAGTTTGTGTGTTTTTCAAGGCCTAGTCACACTCACACCAATACTGAAAAAAAAAATAAAAGGCAACATAATGACCTGTATTTTTATCTGCTCAGGAGCCCCCTCCAATATTCGAGATTCAATTCCACAACACTATGCTGATTCAGATTCAGGCTACATTTCGGGACTCAGGACAGGGCCTTGCACACAGCAGGACTAAAGAAGACTTGATCCATCTAAGCCTCCTTGGTTCTACGGTGCTGCATGTTGAAGCCAGTAATGCACAACCATTCTGTCTACAGATCACACCATGAGACTAAATAACGGACATTAAAGAACTTCACCAAGGGCCAGTCACTATAAGCCACTGTGGCAGGGGGCAGAAAGACAAATATCACACATTCTCACACTTATGGAAACAGATGTGAACCTGTAGAAACACAAGTAGAAAGTAGTCATCAGAGACAGGGAAGGGGAGAGGGAGGCAAACAGAAATTAAGAGGGGCTTTTTAGGTATAAGAAAAGCACTGGGGCGAGGGGGAATAGGAGTCATGGGCAGAGAGTGGAGAGACTTGATCTATGCAGTGGGCATATGCATACATGGAAATGCTCCAGTATACCCTATTAATAAGCAAAACTCATGTACATTAATTAGAACACATTTTAATTTTAAAAATAAAACGGACAGGTGAGGGGTTCAGCTCCATGGTTAAGAGCACCAGCTGCTCTTCCAGAGGACACAGGTTCTCAGCACCACGTGGCGGAGCACTACTGTCTAACTCCAGGTCCAGGATAGTCAACGCCCTCTTCTTCCTCTGCTGACCCCAGACATGCACGTGGTACACAGACATACATGCAAGGAAAATACCAGTGCACATTTTTTTAAAAAAATGTTTTAAAGCTAAGCATGACAGAGCACACCTTTAATCCTAGCACTTGGGAGGCAGAGGCAGGGATATCTCTGTGAACTCAAGGCTAGCCTGATCTATACAGTAAGTTCCAGACCAGCCAGAGGTAAATAGTGAGACCAAGCTTTTCTCAGAAAAAGAAAAAAGCATAAGTAAATACAACATAAAAGCACTGGAGAAAAATGTCTGCAGACACAGCGGAAGAAAGCTGGATCAGTGAGCACACACATAAACGTGAATACTCAGCGATGTCACAGGACGAGAAGCTTAGGCTCACGGTCGCTGGTTCTGTTTATCTTCATAGAAGAAAATGTAACCGAGAAAGGAGTACTCATCCAAAACTACAATTACTAAATACCTAAAGTAAGACTAAACATTGGGTCAGGTGATACAGAAGCTACGGAAGCGAAGTAATGTGACATCTAACATGAAAACATTACAATGGAACTCAGCCTCTGGGCTGAGCCGCATCTCCAGGTTCACATGCTGAAGCCCTAGCTCCCGTTACACAGCATGTAGATGGATTTAGGGAACAGGCCTTCTAAGAGGTGATTAAATTCCAAAGCGGCCACAGTGTGTGCAGGAGATCCTGCAAGGACAGAAAGAGGCCACCCACAAGTAAGAGAGAAGCCTTGCAATGGAGTGACCTTGCCACACCTTTTCTGGTCTCCTAAAGGGCACACTTGTTGCTGGGTCTGAGGGTGTTTGGGGGGCACTCGAGAGAACAATATGTCTGCAGAAGAAGTCTGTGAAAATGGAAATGATCTGGACAGACGCTTTCCTGCCCGCATCACCCACCACTGGGCAGTAACCCGAGGATTCCTAAGTATAAACTTGAGTTGACAAATTCTGTTTTGTAATCCACCAGACAAATTATTAAATCAGTATCATTTTCTTCCTACCTCCAATTTCTTCTACAAGAGCAGCCAGGGTCTCATCGAGCAGCTGGAGAAGATCTGACCCAGGGGAGCACAGGAACTAAGCACTGACTGAGACCCATCAGAGACACCCCGCCCACGCCACTGCCACAACCCCCTGCTTGTGCCTTTTTAAAAACAGGAACACAGTGGCGTTTATATCAGAGGGACTTATGGCCCCTCCCAAAGCTCACATGCTAAGGCTTAGTGGCCTGTCCACCAGTGGCCCTCTGAAAGGAAGTCAGTCAGCGTGGACAGGGGCAGGGACGGTGGCCACCACAAAGAGCACTGCTTTGCTTCAGCACGATGTTCTGACAGCCATGACGGAGTCTTCTGACACTCGGAGGCTGATCTGCCAGCTTCCTCGCAGCTTCTCATCATCTCGCATCATTGCTGACTATCACAGTGACTAATGCAGCCATCTGACTTCTCAGAGTTTCCCACTAAGATGTAAGCTCAGAATGCGTCCGAGCCTCAGGAGCATTTCCCTTAATCCCACTGCCACTGGTGGGGAGGAACAGTGCAGCCTGGAGTGTACTTTCCAAACAAGTAACTAAGGGACAGCCAGACTCAGAACAATCCTTATAAACTCTAGACTCCCCTGTAAATGTGGACCCCAGACTCATAAGCACAGCAGATCTGTGTGACAAACCGTAACTGCGTCACTCACAGGTAAGGGACAATTCTTTCTGCACCTGCATGTTCTTTTACTTTAAATGTGAGGAGTATGAAATGTGACTTGTTTATGGAAATCCTAGTTCGCTGTGCCCATGTGCACAAGAACAGCTTCGCATTCGTTACTTTGTATCATTCATGGTAATCTTATCCATGTTTTTATCTGAATCCTAAAATTGTGGTAAAACCCAAATGACATAAAATTCACGACTTGAGGTCCCTTTAGATGCCTGGCGCTAGACCAATTCACAGTACTGAGCTGGAGACCTTTGCTTCTTGTAGAATGGAAAGTCTACACAGACAACAGTGCTAGGTTCTCCTTGTCCCATCCCCAGCAAGTGACATTTTACTTTCTGTTCCTGGGTCTGACCATTCTCGAAATCTCGTGCAAGGGAACGTGCACCTTGTCTGTTTTCTGGGAGTGACTTGCTTGACTTTGTCTAATGTCTTCAAGGCCCCACTGTGTCGTAGCATATTCAGAAGGCTGATATATGCCACCCAGCCCAGTTGCTTACATGACTGCTGGGTTTGCAGACTCGGGTCCTCATGCACTGAGCCATCTACTCAGCCCCAGGAACTGTAAAGGCCCGGGACACTGGAGCTTGAAATTCCAACCAAGGCTAAACACTATTAAGAACCCTGCAGACTCAAAGGCTGTGCCACTTGGATCTAGCTGTGAGCCATGTCCTCCATCGTCCATCATTTGCCACCTCTAATCCCTGTCATCTCCAGTCCTAAACAAACCCATCTTTTGCAGGAGCTCTGAGACTGTGCATTTAATGCTGACTAAGGCATGGGGAGGGATCACCAAAGAAATGAGGCGGAAGTGCAACCTAACTCTGAGGACAACAGAGGGCTGATTGAACTCACAAAGTCTGTCTCCAGCTTTCCCATTTCCTGCTTGTAGCTTCTCATTCTGTTGCTGTACATGCCTCGACTTTGCGGTGGAATTTCTCGGACTTCCAAATCCATCTGTTCAAGCTGCAGTGGGAGGAAAAAGAAATGTGAACCACATGCATATTCTTTATTCTCCCAAATGGTTAGTGCTAAAAGGATTGGCTTCTAAATCCTGGCTTTGCAGCTGAGGAAGCAGAGCTATGCTGGAATGCTTTAGCGTTTACTTCCTGATTGGTTCAGGAAGCAGCTAGACAATGACACTGGGTGCTAAGCTGCTTGCTTTGTTGAGAATTTGTGTTGAAAAACATGTGCACTAATCAAAACATTCTCGCTAATTTGTTATCAGCATCCTTGGAGCAGCCCATTGTTCCCTGCAGCCTGATCTGGTCACCTGACTGAATGTCCAGGATGATGGGAGACTGTTTCCTGTGGCTCACCCGTGAAACAGCAGCCTGGCTTAGATATGTGAGGAAATTTCTTTGAGAAAGTTTTTCCTAGGTAAGAAAATCACATACAACCAACATGTGACCTCGGCCGCCAGCCTAACTCTTACACAGTAAAACCACACTGATGAGCTAATGCATACTGCTATGTTAGTTATGCCTTGCTCACTGAAATCATAGCAGGGCATGCTTTAGCCATCTGCCATCCTGCAACACTCTGCATACAGCACATGAGAGTTTAATGGGTGCCGAGAGAGAAATGCACTAACGGTTCAGAGCCCAGGCTTTGTGCGGAGACTCTGTGTCCTCATTGTAGGCACGGCTACTCACCAGGCCTGGGGGATTGAACAGAGGCCTTAATGACCCTCAGGACAGCCATGAAGATGAACTGAGCAATGCCTATAATGTATTTAAGGCACTTTGATGGAGGAAGGACATCGCTAATAGTTTAGCTTGTAGTCATGTTAATTAGATTTTCTAGATATATAGAGATATATTTCAATTAGATAGGCATTCTTCATATCTTTCAAAGACTGCAGAATATGGCATTTAAAATATTTTAATAACTTAGGACTTTTCATGACAAAGAGACACGTCTGCTCCTGGCAGCACCAGCTATTTCAAGAGGAAGATGGGCATCGAAGAGGATCCTTATGGAGTTTGATAGCCATTTGGGCAAGAAACTGTTCTTGCCTGGACTGTTGCATAAACTGGACACAGAGAACCCACAGAGAGAGGACTGCTGAACTTGCCTAAAGGTGAGATGGTCTTTCGGGGTTCCTGATTCATGAAGGAGTCTGCAAGACATTCTGCAGGACACAGCAGAAAATGACTGAACTGTCTTTGAAATTTCCTGCTTCATGGAAATGTCTCTGGATACCATGGGCCTGTAGGCCGAAGATGGATGCCCCAACGGTACAGAGGAACTTTGGGTGACTGTCCAGGCAGCGAGATGTCTCTGTCATTTCTAGAGTTTTCTTATTTCTTGTTTACTTAGGTATTATTATATCCTTCTGGAGTCTTTGATGGAGTTGAAGAATGAATAGTTATAGTTTTCCTTAGTTATGATAAGAGATAAAATAGATATAAATATTGTAACTGTAATTCTTGCTTGATAACTGTTTTGTTATATGTAATTTTGCTATGTTAAGTTAAAGCCTTTTTTTTGTTTAAACAGAAAAAGGGGAAATGATGGAGGAAGGACATTGGTTAATTATAATAAAGAAACTGCCTTGGCCCATTTTATTGGTTAGAACATAGGTGGGAGAGAATGTTGGGAGAAGGAAGCTGAGTCAAGGAGTCGCCATGGTTCTCCCACTCCAGACAGACGCAGGTTAAGATCCTCCCTGGTAAGCCACCTCGTGGGCTACACAGAGTATTAGAAATGGGTTAGAACAATATGTAAGAGCTAGCCAATAAGAGGCTACAGATAATGGGCCAGGCAGTGTTTAAAAAAATACAGTTTCTGTGTAATTATTTCGGGGCATAAGCCTGCCATGTGGGAGCCAGGGCTGCCGGAACACAGCCCTGCCGCTCCTTCAACAGCACTGTATCACTAGATTGACAGTAACTATAGTAATAGTTACAAAGAAAAAGGGCAAGCACTCTATGAGGTTGCAAAGGGGGCTAATTTGTACAATCCCCTAAAAGAGGAAAAACCAGAAACAAGAGCAAATTGGCCCAGACTATGTCAATAACTTCCACGGAAAAAGACAGCAGCGCATTTGCTTCTGACAGCATTCTATTGCATTGATGACCACTGCAAGTCTGTCACCGCTGTTTACTTGTGAAGACTGAATAGCTATAGTAGAATACAGAAAGACCAAACAAGCAACTCTAAATAAGATATGTACTTTTTTTTTTTTTTTTTTTTTTTTAATTTTAGAGACAGGGTTTCTCCGTAGCTTTTGGTTCCTGTCCTGGAACTAGCTCTTGTAGACCAGGCTGGCCTCAAACTCACAGAGATCTGCCTGCCTCTGCCTCCCGAGTGTTGGGATTAAAGGCGTGCGCCACCACCGCCCGGCTAAGATATATACTTTTATAAGAAAATCAGATACTTTTAATTAGCCTTTTGCGAACAGTGATCATGTAAGTGTGAAGGTTGACCATCCCTTCCCAAGCAGACCTTTAGTAATCTATTTGCCCAGCAGTGGCCTATCAGCTGCTCATGAGAAGCATGACTGCGGCTGACACCTTCGAGACTCTGCTTTCCATTCTGTTGATGTATAATCAGAAGCAGGGTTTGTTTAACATCTTTTCCACGGTCATTATTAATCATTTTAACATTACGCTTTTATATTTGTTTTACTAAATTTCCTAAAAAGCAAATGGAGTATCTCACTGAACCCAGTGCTCACCAATGGGCTAGGATAGCTGGCTAGCTCAAGAATCTGCCTATTTCCCTCCCCCACCTCCCAGGGCCAGGTTTAGAGACATTACAACCTTGCCCAGTAGTTTACATGCAAACTTGGGTCCCCATGCTTGTGTGGCAATAAATGAAATCACCATGTATCAAGGCATAAGGTCTGACAGTGTCACTGTTCACTGGCTTTTAAGTTAGCACACACACTGGTGGGTTTTCCCACGGCATTTTCATACATACTTTGTTCTTACTTGTCTCCTATCCCTTGTCTCCCTCTTGCCTTGTCTCCCTCATTATTCTGTCTTCTCTTCTCACAAGCATTCAATTACCCTCTCTTTTTCTCTCTCTTTTCCTTAAGAACTTTCCACTGTCACCTTCCTAGTTTACTGGGTCCCCTCCCCCATACCTTCTCTTTCAAATCTAGGATGTGTGTATTAAAAACAAATCTCATTTTTCCGAGTTTGGCTTATTCCACTTAACATAATGGTTCCCAGCTCCATCCTTTTTCCTGCAAATGTCATGATTCCATTTTCTTTACAGCAGCATCTAATCCCATGACGTAAGCACCACATTTCTTTATCATTCGTCGGCTGGTGGATGTTCAGGATGCTCCCGTGTCTTCGATCTTGGGGACACATGGATATGAAGTATCTCTGTGGCAGTGGGTGGACGTTCAGGATACTCCCGTGTCTTCGCTCTTGGGGACACATGGATATGAAGTATCTCTGTGGCAGTGGGTGGACGTTCAGGATGCTCCCGTGTCTTCGCTCTTGGGGACACATGGATATGAAGTATCTCTGTGGCAGGACGTAAAAGTCCCTTGGCTATACACAACAGCGGTATGTCTGTCTCATTCGGCATTTCCACCTTTAGCGGTTTAAAAACACTGATTTCCATACTGCCCTTATTCATTCATTCACATCATCAGTGGACATGGTTCCTTTCTCCAATATCCTTGCCAGTATTGGTTTCCTTTTTGGTTTTGTTTTATTTTTTTAATTTTTTGAGACAGTGTCTAATATAGCCCAGACTACCCCTGAAATCACTATATATCACTAAACTTCTACTCCTCCTGCCTCTTCGTGAGATTACAGATTTACCATCACCCTGGCCCTGCTGTCCTTTGATGTTAGCCACTCTGACCAAACAAATGGAACCTCCAGGGGTTTTAACTTACATTTCCCTGATGGGTAAGGACGTGAAACTTTTTTTTTTACTAGCTTGTTTCTTTGACTGGGAGATTTGCTTTTCTTGCATCTAGTTTTGGCAGTTCTTTTTATGTCCTACAAATCAATCCCCCCCCCCCCACCATGTGAAGTGTAATTGGCAGATTTTCTCCCATCCCACAGGCTGTCTCTTCACTTTGGTAATTATTTCCTATGCTGTGTGAAGCTTTTCAATTTTATATAATCTTATTGTCAGTTTTTGAGAGTCCTTTTAGGAAAGGTCCTGCTTCTGCCTGTATCTTAAAGTGTTTTTCAGAGCTGGAGAGATAGTTTGGGTGGAGTAAACTTGCTGCCTTGCCAAGGACCTGAGTTGGATGGTTAGACTCTCTGCAGGCGACTCGCAGCCTCTTGTAACTCTGGCTTCAGGGAATCTGACACCATCTTCTGGCCACTGTGATCACCCACACATGTGTGTATGTATACATACACGTAAGGAAAGATAAATAGGCTTGCCATAGCAGTTTCAAGCTTTACATAAAGGTCTTTGGTTCATTTTCAACTGAATTTTTTTTTTTTTTTTGCACAGGACAAGAGGTAAGAATCTAGTTTCACTCTTCTGCATGTTAAATGCAGTTTTCACAATGCCATTTGTTGTAAAGGCTGCCTATTTTGCAGAGTATGTTTTTAATACCTACAGGGGAAAACAGGCGGCTGAAGCCATGTGCGTTTGTTTCTGGGTCTCTACTCCAGTGGTCTACAGGGCTGTTTCTGTGCCAGTGGCCATACTGCCTTAGTTACTATGGCTCTGAGTAGAATTTGAGACTGGGTATCATGTGCTTCTGGCATTGTTGCTTCTGCTTAGGATTGCTTTGTGCTTCCATATGAATTTTAGGTTCCTTTCTCTGGTTTTGTGAAGAACGACACTGGGGTTTTGAAGGAAAGTGTTAAACATAAAGATAATCTGCAATAATATAGCCATTTTTATAATATTGATTTGCTAACCCATAAGCATGGAAGGGTCTGTCATCTTCTGTTTCTCTTTTCAACGTCTTTACTGTTAGAAAGTTTATATTACAGAGGTCTCGTCTCCTTGATAGATTTGTTCCCATTTCTTCTCTTTTTTCTTTTTCTTTTTTTATTGAGTTATACATTTTTATCTGCTCCCCTTTCTCCCCCCCCCCCAATTCTACCCTCTCCTGCGACTCCCACACTCCCAATTTGCTCAGCAGATCTTGTCTTTTTCTCCTTCCTATGTCTTCCATGCTTGTCTCTCTTAGGTCCTCTTTGTTGTCTAGGCTGTCCGGGGTTGTGGACTGTAGATGGGTTTTTCTCCTTTTTGAAGAACTGTGTATGGGAATTTGCTTCCTGGTCCCTTTCTTGAGAAGTTCATGACTTAACTACTGACCCTTGCACAGTGAGTTTGTATCCCACTGCTCGGCTGAAAGTGCATACTAGATCTAAGCACTGTCAGGTGGAGTTGTTAGAGCTTTAAAAACAGGGCCGTGTCATCTTGAAAAGGCGGCGATTTGGCCTCTTCCATCCCTGGTTGTATTCCTTTCATTCCTTGCTCATCACTCTAGCTGGGACTCCCAGCACTGTATGAGGAAGACTGAGAGCGTGGACTTTGTAAGTATTTACTCCTTGCAAGGTGAGATATGTCTATTAGGATCAAGAATAAGGCACATATACTCATTCTGTTTTCACAACGCCCGTGCAGCCACTGAAGAGAAGAGGACACGTAAGTCCAATAAGTCCAGTGTCCATAGATTACTACAAACCACGAAGGGCAGAAACACAACCAGCCAAGCAATCAAATCACAATCAAGCTTTTCTAACAGTTTCCTCATCAAAAGAACAGTCTGTAATCTAAGATACCATTAAAAATAAGTAAATCAGCTTTCTGAACATTTTAAATGAACAGAAATGCTTATTTTAGAGTCACATCGTCATATTACTAATAATAAAGTATTGCCAGCTCCATGAGGGCTTGGTTTGGCAGAACCTCTTCAATCAAGAAGAGACCAGCTTTCCCTCATCATCAAGTAAGCAAAATGTCTCTAGAGGCTTAAAAAAATAAAAACAGCAGTCCCGAAGAGGAAAAAGCTGCCACAGGAACTTATCAGTAGGAAACTCATCCCAATCACGTCTTAGCCCTAAGATGTGTAAAAAAAATCAAGTGTTTATAACTGAAGATCCAGAAAACTGACCAGTTAGTTTTATCTTTAGTTATCCCACCAAGCAGAAGGAAGAAATGTATGGATTGGCTGCTCTGGCATCTAAAGTCTCACATGAGAGGGAAGAAGTGTGAAAGAAACAGTTAATATAAAAAGAAAGGACAAAGAAGGGCAGGTGTTAGAAGATGCGGAAACAGAGATGGAGACAGTGGCAGCAGCCCACAGCCCCTGCAAGCCATAGGGTACCATATGGTACAGAGACAGTTGGTCATTCTGACCGCAGGAGAACAACAGACAGTGAAAACCGAGGAGGTCCCAGTCATGTCCATCTTAGACCCCAGGAAAAGTATGCTGTGCTATGGAGAACAGCTTCCTTCTTGAAACCTCCAAATCTGCTGCCTCTGGTGCACGGCTCCACTGACAACTATAATCCATCAAAGTAAGACTGAAGAATGTCAGGCCCTCCAGTCACCCTCTAGAGAAGTCTCTGCCTTCCCAGAGCTGCCTAAGGGTCCAAGAAGGTTCTGAAGAACAACAATAATCAAAAAAAGAACCTGCATCCCTAGGCACCTCTAAGGTAGCGCTGCAAAAGTTTTGGATACGTAACAGCAGCAAATGGAACCCTTCAGAAAACGGGCCTGAGTCTGCCAGCACATCCTCTGGTGTCCCTTCAGTACTCAGAAAAGCCACCACTCGCTTCCCCCATGATGCACAGCAACAATCGAGCAGTTTCCACAATGGGGGCAAAACACCTTTCCTTCTTTTTCTCCCTAGGATTTGTTGTCATGAAAAAGCAGTGTGTGAGCCAGGGCTCTAGGTGTAGACACCCCGGCACAAAGCCTACAGAGCGCATAGGAGAATGTGGGACCTCAGACACATTTCCTAGCTTTCTAAGTGTCAGTCCTCATGGACAAGAGTGGGGCAACAACCCAGGCATCACTCTACCACGATTCTCTGGGCATGAGTGTGGTGTTCTCACGAGCCTTCCACACTGTATCTCCAAGTCTGTGCACACAGAGCCACTGAAGAATGAAACAATATGAAGAATTCTGGGACAAAGAACAGGCTTACTTCCAGGCTGCTGTATGTGGCTTATGGCTCAGGCTTTGCGATCTTGGTGGAAGCAAGTGTTTGCATCTCTTCTGTGGAAACTGAGGCTTAGGGGACTAAAGCTAACAAGCTGACATCCTGGCAGCTGCTTCTTTGGAACAGGAGGCTTCGGTGTCTGATTGGGGAGTCTCCTTTCTTGGGAGCAAAGCATCTGCAGCACGAACACAAGGACTTGAGCTCTATCACCAGCACCCACACAGAAGCTGGTTGTGGCACTATGCACGCCTGCAATTTCAGTCCTTGGAAAGTGGGCACGAGATCCCTAAAGCTTGATGGACATTCTACCTGAGTCAGTGAGCCTGGGGTTCAGGGAGAGACCCGTTTTGTTTGTGCTTCAGCAAATAAAGCTGGCCTGAAGATCTGAGTACAGAGGTAGCCACACTAGTTAGCCTTAGAGGCCAGACAGTGGTGGCACACACCTTTAATCCCAGAAATCAGGAGACAGAAGCAACAAATCTCTGAGTTCAAGGCCACCTTAGGCTACACAAGACTGATTCAGTCTAAAAGAGAAACAGAGCCAAGTAATGGATGATGGCTTACACGAGAGAGGACTGTAAGGCAGGATGAGAAAGGAAATGAAGGCATTCAGTCTGAGGATTCATAGAGGCAGATTCTTGGTGGCAGGATCTTGCCTCCTGTTGGGTGTAAGGTAAGAACTTTTCCGGTAGAGGTAAGAATCTCAGTGGCTGGATGCTCTGCTTCTCTGATCTTTCAGCTTTTCAGCTTTCACCCCCTAATATCTGACTCCAGGTTTTTACTAACCAGTTAGAAATTGTGCTACACCTGCCAGGGGAAAAAAGGTGGAGAGGTGGAGAGAAACTGGAGAAACTGAAGACACCTGATGCCAACCTCTGGCCTCTACATCATATGTATTTATGTGCACACACACATGCAAATGAACATGTACATACACACAGATACAGAAGAAATCTCATATCTCTTGTGGGCATCCATAGAGACTGGCAAGCTTTTTCAGCTTCCAAGCTGGTGGAAATCTCAGACCTCTGTCAGTTTTGAAAGACAAGTTATCCCACAAGGAATTTGTGAGAGTTAATGCTTATCACACAAGCAATGCACTTACCCTAGTGTGTGGTGTGCCTTTGTCAAACATCAGCTACTAAGATCATATACTAAGAGACTGGTTCTTAGGAGGAAATTCTGAAGGACTATAAATTAGAGGCTGGCTTTTAGCGAGCCATCTTTACTAGAAAGAATAAAATCTCTGGAAGTGATTAAATCCCCTTTAATCTGAAAAGCAATGAACTGTGAAGTGGAGCCTGAGTGCATACTGTTCCATGCATGCCCTGGCACACACAGCGGACTCCGGGGTTCAGCGTTCAACACACCCCTGAGGCTACGCACCAATTCTCTGGCCTCTTCAAGCTCTTTCTCCACGCTGGCAACCATTTGCTTCTTCTCATCTAAAACAAGCAATAATATCAAAGAAATAATAATTATACAAGATAAATTGAATATGCAGTGGTTTTTAACTTTCTTAATGCTGCGACCCTTTAATATAGTTCCTCATGTTGAGGTGACACCCAAGCATAAAATTAATTTCATTGCTACTTCATAACTGCTACTATTATGAATCACAATGTAAACAACTATATTTTCCTATTGTCTTAGGTGACCCTTCTAAAAGGATCATTTGACCCCTTTTTACAACCCACAGGTTTAAGCCCACTGCTCTAAAGTCTCTTATTTTTATACAGCCATCTCCTTTCTGATCAACCAGATCAGAAAATATAAAGCGAGCAGATCATTCTTAGGGGGCTGAAGGCTCATCATTTAAGAGCACTGGCTGCTCTCCCAGAGGTCCTGAGTTCAATTACCAACACCCACAAGGTGGCTCACTGTCAGGGCCCGTAGGTCCCAACATAGAAACTATTTTTTCCTAACTCAACTGGTACGGAGGGGCAAGAAATAATGAGACACAGTTCACACAGCCATTTCGGAAGGGCATCTCAGGCTTCCTCCATTCCTGAAGATATACCTGCGTTTATTACACAAAACACCTTTTATCCCCCAGGTAAACCAAGGTGGATACTCATTAATTGTAGCGAGCTGCATGGAATCACACCTGATGGAGATGTATAATCAACTCCTGAGATGGCTAAGGCCTGACCTATGCTATGATCACTCAATGATTATCAGCTGCTTGCATATGCGTGAACCTATGGGCAGTGCCCACCTGGCAGTTCGGGGTTGGCAGCCCATGCCTACTTAAGGGCTGAGAGAGGTTTGCCCGGAGAGAGAGGGGAAGAGAGATACAATTGTTAAAAAGGTCCTGGAATAAAACTGCAGTGAGAAGAGCTCCGGTGGTCGCATCTTCCTTGCTGGTCGAGGCTGAACGTGACAGTTGGTGGCCTCGTAAGGGGAACCTCCAAACCTCTCTCCATGGAGCCCAGAACTTGCTGCAGTCAGGGGGTGCACCAAATAATCCTCAAGGTAACAATTGGGGATCCACGACAAAAAGCGGGTTTTCTACTCTCGCAGGTAGAAGAAGGGAGAGTAGGGGTAATAGGGCCGCGACCAAAGCGGATGGTTTAAAGCATAGCCACGACCAAAGTGGACGGTTTAAAATGAAAATAAAAGGAAGAATGGGATTTTAGAATGGGCGCTTCAACATCACAGCTGATTTTTCTGGCTCTTAACGAGCTGTTAAGGAGCATTGGAGAGGTTTTTGACTGAATGTGACACAATTGCTTCTTGGTTTGCCGTCTCTGGCAATCTTAATGTGTCATCCTGGGACAAGCCTGGTAGAGACCTGGATTTTTCCACTTAACAAGGTACGCTAAGGAAGGGAGTGATATTCCTGTGGTTCGAGTTACAGAGACCTCCAGAGTTTGCAGTGGAGTGTGAGCAGCTGCAGCTCCAAGACCAAGAAAGTGCTGAGGGTCTGCAAAGCCTGCAAACCCAGGGACTGGCTTCAAGGACCGACAAGGCCAGAACCTAGGCCACTCCCAGCATGGATGCCTCAGGGCGTAGAGGTAAGATCTGTTGACCAGGACCTCTGTCCTAGCCGGGGGCAACCGGCCTGGACTGGGTTGGGGCTCAGCCACACCTCCACCTTNCCCCCCCCCCCCCCCCCCCGCCATTGGCTAAAACCCATTATCCCAGGCTAATAATAAGAGGTAAAACAAAGTGGGAAAACCCCAATCAAGGAGTGGTCAGCCAGTGTCTGTTACTCCAGTAAAACCATCTGCTCATTCAAAGCAGGGCATTCTGAACTTACAGCCCATAGGAGTCTAAGGAGCCATGACTGCTTCATCTTTTGTAGGATCCATGCAAAAGGGCATGTTGTTTAAAAAGGAAAAGAATTCTTTCTAGTTTTAACTAAGACGATATGAATAAAGTATGAACTTCAGTCTGATGTAGGAGGGTCTTCTATCTATCTATCTATCTGTTGCTTTCACTAGTTAATTAATAAAGAAAACTGCTTGGCCTGATAGGTCAGAACATAGATAAGCGGGGAATACAGAACAGAATTGTGGGAGGAAGAAAGCAGAGACAGGCAGACACCATGAATCTCTGGCCCGAGATGGACATAGGTTAGGATCTTTCCTGGTAAGCCACAGCCTCGTGGTGCTACACAGATTTAATGGAAATGGGTTAGATCAATATGTGAGAGATAGCCAATAAGGGGATGAAGATAATGGGCCAGGCAGTATTTAAATGAATATAGTTTCTATGTTATTTCCGGGGCTAAGCTAGCTGTGCGGGAGCTGGGCGGGATGAAAAGCAGGCCTGCTGGCCTCATCACTGCAACATCAGTCAACACCAAATAATACGGATTCAGGACCTGTAGCAAATGTATCAAGGTGCGGTATTAACAGAGGCCACTGGCATGGGTAAATGGAGTTATTTTTGTGATTTTTATATTCCAACTGGTCTAAAAAAAATAAAAATAAAAGTTTAGGGCCAGGAGTACAGCTGGCTAAGTGTGTGTTTAACAAGAGATAAGGCCTTGAGTCCAACCCCCCCGGAACACAAATATAAAATGAAGCCATGACTTAAATTAACCAAACTGCCCAAGGGTGCAAGATCCCTCTGGATTTTGAGTATAGCCGATATGTGTAAATTTAAACACGGAAACAGGTGCATATACACATACATGACACAAATTTCTATGTGTCTACTATCCAAAGATGACTAAAATCCCAAACACTTGTTTATAAAGCATAACTGTCATAAGTGACAACTGATGGCTGTTTTCCCAGTATACTCAACTGAAAAGTATTCTATCTGCCAGCTTCCATGGTCTCCTAAACCTTCCAGGGTGACACAGTTCCTCGTTAGATCCAAGTATCTTCTAAAAGACACCTGCTTTGCCCCATCACTGCTACTCCCCTTCCTCAATTCCCTTCCTTCTTGATATCCTGAATTCAAAACCATTTCCACTTCCACATCCCAAAGCCCTCAGCACCTACTTTTCCTGAAATGTAGGTTTTCATCAAGAGCCTTTAACCTCACTGTACGTCAGGCACAGAAAGGAGGTGAGGATCTAAAGTCAAGGTTCTCTTTAAAGTAGTTGAGAGGACAAAGTCTGAGCTGGAGCCTGGCCAAGCCTGCCCACTGCTGAAGGAAGCACAGATGAAAGAATATCCCCTAGGGTCAGTCTGCTATGCTTTCTCTTGTTTGTGTTGCATGCCTCATTTGCATTTTAAAGCATTCTAAGATGAAAATGACCACCCTTTCCTTCCCATTCTTCAGGTCGAAGAGGCCAAGACATCTGATCACAACTACATTTGCAGTAAGTTTAGGCAGGCGAGGAATCCTAACAGGTCTGACAGCAACAGCCCAAGCCTTAATCACTTTGCCAAAATACATTCTTGGTACATTCTAACTGTAACCCTTAGGTCTCTGTGAATGGGGAGAAGAGCAAAATGAAATTCTGGTGAGGGTCCTCCAATATGCCTGTCGTAATAGAAGTTCTGCCCTGTGGAGAACTGTTGTGCTGAGCAATTCACCCCCCAATACCACAAAATCAGGAATTTTTAAAATCAAGAGAGTTATGGTCCCAGCTCATTGATTTTCCTGACTTTTGAACATAACAGTAATCATTAAAAATCAATCTTTAAATTCAGTAACCACAGAGTATTCATTAAGGGACCCACCTTCTAAAAATCACAGCTATTAAAATTAGTTAAGATTCAAACACTTCAAAGAGCAAAGTTTTTTTATTCAAAAAGTATTACAGAGTAATCAAGTTTCTTTTTAAAATAAAATTTCAGAATTTTTTTCTATTCTACTTGGAAGTCACCGCAATACGTATACATGTACAATAGAGTAGTTCATTTCCACAGAATCTGGGTACTCCAACCTACATAAATTACCTTGACGTTAAGGTTTGTTCCAATTTTTTTTTTTAATCTTCTTATTCCAAGTAAATAATAGCTCATCTTTTGGTCTACTTCAGGCGAATGACACAACCATTATGATGTTGTGGGATATTATAATTACTAGTTATAATATGGATATAAAAATATTGAGAAATAAAAAGCAGTATGTTGCTGAGTATACTGCTTTTGCTATGTTACATTATTAATTCCTGTTAGTTCATAAACTCGTGAAAAAAATATTTTTTTCTATCAATTAGGAGCAAGTTTAAAAGGGAGCAAGCACAAATCATTAAGAGGAAAACCACTGTATTTTAAAGTCATTTAATTATTCAAGTACACATTTTTTCCCACAATACCAGCAATACAATCTCCTTTCAAATGAAATATGGTTAGTCTGTTTGGGCCTCATGTTACATTACATATAAGAAGAGGCATGACAATATCTTTATTTTTTAAGACACAATTCAACTGTTTGCTTCTATGTGGTAAGAATTTTAAACACAAAGGCAAAAAAACTCAGTTGTAACAAAATCTAGTTTCTCAGAAAAGGTCAACACAATTCTGTACCCTGGATGACATTACTTTGCAAAAGAGTCAATACTAAAGTATTTGCCCAAGAAATACTTCTATTGCTAAAAACAAACAAAAGACATATTAAAATTCAACACAAGCAAACTCCAACTGCAGCTACAAATCCTGGTACTCTGAGGTTCTGGGGCTCAAGTCAAAGGCAGAAGTCTCAGACAACAGTGACAACAAAATCAAGATGATCTCGGGCAACGGAGAAAAGTGGGACTGAAGAGAAGAGGCGAGGCGAAGTATCATGAAGGCAGGAGGCCATCATCCACTTAGTCCACCAAAAACTCTGAGGCAACACAGCTCCGTGGTACATGCTACCTTGGTTTTCTCCTCTTGCTCCCTCCCTTGGACTCTAACCTCTTTTAAGACATCATCCACCTCCTTCAGAACTAAATGGGACTTCGGGATGGAGAGGGATGTAAGGTCAGAGGTCCTGGCTTCAAGCAAATATCCCTAGTAACAGAAAACGGGTGAGAGGGGGGACAAAGAAATAAAGGAAGAAAATTATTTATAAAACAAAGATTGGGGGAAATTCTGGAATGGGGATGAGGAACAAGTTAGATCCAAGAGAAGTTACTGTTGGCATCTTGGATTGTCTGGGTTAAGAAAGCGATATTACCCACAATTCTGGAGGAATCATCTTTTCTAGACGGTGTGCTCCAGGGCTGAAGTAGAGACAAGTTCAGAGGCCCAACAATCATTCGATTTCCCTAATGAAACTGAGCCAAAAATTAATAAGAAAACTCACACTTTGTTCCTAACTACTTAAGCTAAATCTGTACTTAAAGAAAAATCGACCCTAAAACACTATCTTACAAGTCACAAGATGCCACATTATAATCACCTGCTTGTCCACAAAAGCATTCTTTGGACCCTTTGGAAGAGAAATGCCAAGGAGATCAGACATGACTCCCACTTTCACACTGCTGACAACCTAGCAGAGAGCGTGACAGCTGGGGGACAAAATTACCCTGTACCAAGCTTTACAAAAAACTGAGTTATAAAACCCAAGAAGGATGAAAACCCCACAACTGGGGCAGAGGTCTGAAAACTATGAATCCTAACAAGAGCTACTCAAAGGGCTTCACAGATGTGTGCCACTTAATCTTGAACGAGGTACGTGTCTCTCTAACCGAGAAGGAAGTTTTGAAAGAGTATGAACACTTGCCTAGGACACAACTTCTAAGTGTCAAGAGTTGGGCTGGAATCCAGGCATTCTAGTTTGTCACTCTAACGTGCCGCAAATAAGGATAACAGCACTATTTCATAAACAACATTGCTGCATTTGGAGACCCACAATCTTGACACTTTCATACATTTTCTTTTAATACTCTTACTTTATAATTTACGGGGGGGGGGGAGATCAAATGGAGAGCAGTATTTCCAAGCTTTCAGAGCCATTGGGTAGGAATCCAACACCACCCCCCATGGTTCCCATGCCGGGTGGGGGGGTTCTCTGCATTGGAAGCACATTCGGAGTCGAGACACCCCCCTCCCGGGGACGCCAGCACCGCCCACAGCGCCCCCGCCAGGAAGACCAGCTTGCCCAGGCGGCGCTTCGCCGCTCCCGGCTCTCCAGGCCGCCCCCGCCCGGCCGGGCAGGGTACTCACCCGGAGGGAGCCGAGGGACCCTGGAAATCTTGCTGGTGATCTCAGCAGTGAGCACTGCAAAGTCCTGCTCGTAGCCTTCGAAGTCGGAAGACATGGCAGCTCGGAAATGGTCGGCCGGAGCCGGGGTCTAGCTCCGAGAGAACTCACGAAGGGGGCCGGGCCTCAGCGCAGAGACCCTGAGAAGAAGCCTCCACAGCACAGCGGGGAGCGGGGACGCCTCCCAGCCCAATCGCTTCCTGGTTGTTCTTCGCAATCCTTGTCCCCCGGAAACTGAGGGGGATGCGTCTTTACTTTTCCACTCAGTCGTCGAGAGTGAAACTAAGGGAAAACGTCACTTTCACTGTCCCCTAAAGAACTACGAAAACCTCCATGCTCTCGGGGATCACCGAAAACACTTCCCCACACTGCACGTTCAGGGAAACGGCTGGGGTTCCCCCGAGCTGTAAGCAGATGCAGGCGCCTGCTTTCAGAGGGAAGACTGACGCAGCGGACCTGCCGGAAGTGGCTGTGGCGGAGCTTGCGCCAAGGGCCATGGCGGGATCCTGGCGGCGGCCCTGTAAACCTAAGACTCTGCGGCTCAGAGCTGGTCGCGCACTCCTCACCTTCAGGGTTCGAGTTCGCCTTGCGCAGGACTGAAGAGCTCGTGACGGAGCTTTGAGAAGGAGAAAATCTGTTCCGGGTGAACCCAGGCCGTCCCGGAAATGCAATGGTCGTGGAACGGGCACAGGAGACCAGACTGAGGTGGGAGTCACCGCGGGGGTTGCAACCCACGTGTGGGGCGGTCTTCGCCCCGACCTAATCGGTTCAGGATCTCCAAAATGTTGAGCCCAACCTCACTTAGTAGAACGATTTGTCTCACGAGTGAAGATCCCCGAGGGTCCCGCACCACGGCACGGGCGGGAAACTGAGGCACCCGCAGGCGCAACAGCTGCGTGGGAATCCCTTAGGCATACGTCATACCCATTTATCGTAGGTCGTTTCCCGACTCATTCCACTCCATTCAGAACTCTCTTCTCCAGCTATTCCTCATGCGTGCGTTCTTCCCCCCCCCCCCCCCGCCCTCGTCCCCGGAGGGAATTCATTTTTCCTTAAATACACATTTTTGTGCCCTTTCTCGTGCACTGCTTTAGTTGTGATTTTCCGCGCGCGGGCACGCACACAAACCACACGCGCGTCGCTTTCTTTGCTTTCACCCTTGTTCCTGTACCTTTAACCCTGATCGATTGTTAATATTGGCGCTTGCGGGAACAACTGCGGGTTATTAATACACAAAGTACTATATGCGTAGAGCATATTACACTTAATTCGCAACTCTGAGGCAGTTTAGAACGGCCTAAAAGAATCTCGGTGCCTTGGTTTCTCTTTTGGTTTCTCGTGACCTTGACCTAATCACTCATCCTCTCTAATCCAGTTTCTGTTGTAGGAAGAATTAGGTGAGACCCTGCTTCTTAGCTCTCTAAGGCTTTGTTCTAACTATCCACTTAGCATGGGATAGTTAATCCTTCCTGACAGTTTGCACACAAGAGTAAAACTGTTTAATGTGTCCAGTTTACATGCAGTTCAAGATTGGGCTGTATTTTGGATCGGTCCAAAGGTAATTCTTTTGGGCCTCGATAAGATGTCAACCTCACACTAGTGTGCTTTTGGGGTGCTGTTGCAGTGCTTCTTGGAGTTAAATAAACGGCATATGGAATTTTTAAACGGAATTTTCCCGTTTTGATTTCTTTAGGTTGAGTTTCACACCAATCTAGATTCTTCTTGATGTAAAGGAGTCTGGATGTCAGCAGTGAAAATGGTGTACTCCAGGTTAACACTCTGTCAGCCAAAGGCATGACAGTTCAGGAACACATGGACTTGATGCACACAGAAATGTGTGCACAGAAAAAGAGAATCTCTAATTCTTCGAAAGAAAGAAGGCACCCAAAATGGGCACCTTCTGCTCAGTAATCAGGTTTGAAAATCTTCAAGAATTAAAGAGACTGTGTCACTGGGGCCCCATTATTGCCCTTGGTGTGATAGCAATATGTTCTACGATGGCCATGATCGACTCCATCCTGTGGTATTGGCCTTTACATACAACCGGAGGAAGTGTGAATTTTATCATGTTGATAAACTGGACTGTCATGATTCTTTACAATTACTTCAATGCCATGTTTGCTGGTCCTGGCTTTGTCCCTCGGGGTTGGAAACCGGTAAGAAAATGATCTGCTTTGATAGTGAACATCACATAATTGGCCATGATAATTACATTTTGGTTTTGCCTTATCAGCTTTTGTGCTAGGAGACCCTGGTGTGCTACTCCAGTCACTGGTTGTCACTGCTGATTAGAATTGATGTCTGTTTGAAATATTGATTCACATTAGCTATTCCAAAGCCATTGGTACTTGTTCTTTGTTTAAATAATAATTCAAAATAAGAGGCTGTGTGTGGTAGTTCATGCCTTTAATCTCCACACCAGGGAGGCAGAGGCATGTCATCCTGTGAGCTGACACGCCTGGTCTAAATAGCAAATTTCCAGAGAAGGGAAGAGGATGCCTCAGTCTGAGAACAGGTGGAAACAGTTATCCAAAAAGTGGGCAGCCTTGTGTGACTGAAGGGGGGAAAAGCAGAGTAGTGCAAACCATGGCAAACAAAGGCAAGCAGGTGAGAGAGTGTGCATGGGAGCTGCCTGGACCACAGGGGTGTGTAGAGGTTTCAGGCAAAGCTCTGGCAGAGCTGGATAGGAATGTTATTTTGTAATACACAGATTTGGGTGAGAGAAACAACCAGTTAGAGATGACAAGGGAGATTTGAGAAAGTGTCAACTCATAACTTTACTCTGAAATACTAGTCAAGTTATCTAAAACTCAGGCTCAGATTTGGGTGAGTAGAACCATGACACTAGATTTGGGGTGAAAGTGGAGAAAAGGAAATAAAAATGACCTCTGAGTCATTTTCTAGTTATAATATTTTAGCATAAGTAAAGGTATTAGAAATGCGAGTTAATGACCTCCCTCCCCCATCATCACCCATAATAGAAATTTATGCCATTGTCGGGACCTTTTAAATCCTGACTTGTTACTGTTTAGGATCAAGTAACTAACATGCCTTTCTTTTCTATCAAGGAAAATCCTCAGGATAGCATGTATCTCCAGTACTGTAAAGTCTGCCAAGCATACAAAGCACCACGCTCACACCATTGCAGGAAGTGTAACAGGTGTGTGGCTTCTCTGTTTACCGGGAGCTGATCCTCTTGGTCGCTATGCTTTTTGTTATATCTTCCGTCATGACAATGGAAACCTTTTGTTCTCTGCAAGTGTCCTGGTTTACTTTTCTACTGCTGTGGTAAAGCACTGACCACAGAGCATTTGGGGGAAGGAAAGGGTTTATTTGGCATGCAGAATACAGTCCATCAGTAAAGAAAGCCAAAGCAGGAGCTTGAACCAGAAATTGAGGGACACAGCCTACTGACCTGCTCTTCCTAGTAGTTGGTACTTTTTTCTCTTTGCTCTTCTGGGGGCCTGCCTCCCAGCTCCCAAATAATTACACATGGGGGCATATTCTTACTTATGAATACCCCCCCTGAGCTTGGCTTGTTTCTAACCAGCTTTTCTTCAATTATCCCATCTATCTTATGCCTTTGGGCTTTTAACTTTCTCTATTTCTGTGTATCTTTCTTCTTACTCTGTGGCTCGCTGTGTAGCTAGCTGGGGTCCCTGGAGTCCTCCTCTCCTCTTTCTCCATCCTAAATCTTTTTTTCTCTCTTTTTCTCCTTTTATTTATTCTCTCTGCCTGCCAGCCCCGCCTATCCTTTCTCCTGCCTAGCTATTGGCCATTCAGCTTTTTAATTAGACTAATCGGGTGTAACACAACTTCACAGAATTCAACAAATGCATATTGAATAGCTTCAGAACTTTTTAAGTTGGAATTAAACTGGTTTTCTCAGATTCATTCATACATATTATCAAAAAATTAATGAGAAGAAAACTGAATCACTAATAAAAATTGCAAAATATGCCAGGACCTGGCTATCAGCAGCATCTGTTCATTAAGATGAAATTTAGGAAATACTGAGTTAGACATAAAATCTGGTTTGCTAGGAAGTCCACCTTTAGCAAAGAGACCAAGCACAAGCACTGACTCGTGTGTGCTAAGGTTGTTTTCGGTCAGAAGCTCCATGTCTAACACATTGTGAGAAAGGAAGAAAGTTGCATCTGTGTTAGGAGAGCTTTATAATCATTCTCCCGAGTCACGTGGGAACTGTATGTCACTTATGACATTTATGAACTTAAAGAGACTGACAGCCGAGCTTCCTCCTTTATAATGAGATTCTTGCAGAGCTTCCCAGCTTGTGTAAGAAATTATTTTGTTGTTAGTTTTTCAAGACAGGGTTTCTCTTAGTAGCCCTAGCTGTCCTGAAACTCACTTTATAGACCAGGCTGGCCTCGACCTCGGAGATCTGCCTGTCTCAGACACATTACTTGAGAAACTATTGTGATATCTGACTGCTGTTTAAAATTTTAAAGAAGTCACCATGTAGCTTCAAAAAGCCGTAAAGAAGTATCTGTTTTATCAGAACTAACCCCCGTGACTCCTGTGCATACTGCATTCCTATGTGCTTGGTCTTTTGAAAACCAGAGCTAAAGGAGACAGGAGTTTGCTCTATGCTTCATGAACGTGTTCTTCTTAGATGTATAATGAAGATGGACCACCACTGTCCCTGGATCAACAACTGCTGTGGTCACCAGAACCACGCTTCGTTCACACTGTTCCTCCTGCTGGCACCTCTGGGCTGCATCCATGCTGCTTTTATTTTTGTGATGACCATGTATACACAGCTTTATAATCGGGTAAGTGGACACCGTGATACGCTACCATTCCTGTCAGACTCAGTGATGTCTCCAATGTGTTGGAGGAGTCCCTTTTAGAAATACACTTTTTGTGATTTAGCTAGTACAACAGCTTGCTCGATTAGCTCTATCAGTTCCTTTTTTTAGAAAGCTCTTTGTCTTGGAAATGAGGAAAGATTGTTTTATTCTGGAAACTCACCTTTTGTAATTATTATTTTCCCTTATTCATGGTTTATTACATTTCTAACTTGGTGGTTATGGTACTTTCTTTCTGTTCCCTTCAGTTTCTGTAACAGATTGTCATTCCTTTGTTCATTTGGTCCATGGTGCAAGCACGCTCCTAAAATAAACACATTAAACCAGAAATAGTTTGAATTGACTTTTGGACATTCAGCCATGATAGAAAGTTCAGAGGTTGTACACATTTTAAAAAAAAATCCATAAATTGACTTGGGATCAAAAGAGGGACACAGGCCTAATAGGTATACAACAAGCTGGGGAGCACATGTCCTTCACAGTCAAGGAC